GCGACCAAATTTGCAAATGAAGCGTGGGATTTAAATATCCCGTACTTCATTAACATGTTCTTGGGCGGTCACCATTTTGGAAACTGACTAGCCCGGAATAATTGACCGCGTCTACACGCGGCAGTGAGACAGGAGTTCGAAGTAAACCGCTAACTCGAATTAGCTGTTACTCCTTGTGGAAAGAGGTTTAACAGCTAATTCGAGTTAAGGGGTTTACTTCGAACTCCCATTTCACTGCCGCGTGTAGATGCGGGCAGTTATTCCGGGCTAGTCAGTTTCCAAAATGGCGACCGCCCGGGAACATGCTAATGAAGCACGGGATATTTAAATCCCGCACTTCATTTGCAATTTCGGTCACCCTCATTAGCCTCCCTAGTTCAAACTAGGGGGCTAGTGTAGACGTACCCTGACTGAATAAGCCTGGCTATGACTGAATAAGGGCTTAGAATGGTTCTCTCATTACAAAGGCAAGATGTCATGGTCTACGTACATTTTATATTTGGTTCTGTTGCTTTGCCCCTCACTCGCTCTCTGCTCCTCTTCAGCATTCCCATCTGCTTAAAAGCGCCACTGGCCAAGGATCAGCCATTATTTCCAGATGCTCTTACCTGAAGATGCCCAGTGCTCTTTTTTTCAGAGTTCTAATGCTGGAGGTAGGCGCCTAACTCTAAGGGCTCGAGTTTGAAAATTGACCTTTGGCATTTGGCCTGGGGGGAGGGGAGGGGAGTCTAACATTATTAGCAGGTGTCCCTCAGTGACTTCATCTTGTCTGTGGGATTTCCATGTGCAGAAGATGTTGGCTGGCACGGCGCCCTGACAATGGGAACAGGGACTGCTCTGATAGATTAGTCTAAAATGCCGCTGTTGCACACATCCCTAGAGTAGAGCAATATCGACACCTGGAGCTTTGCAGAACCTGGCTACTTCTCTCCTTGAATGTGGCATATCTGGCTTCGACAGCAGCTGAAACCACCTTGGCTCATGATTCAGCAGTGCCAGAAGCTAAGTTCCCCTGGAATGTGAGGCCAGCTTCTATGGAATTATTACTGTCCCCATTAAAAGAGGGGATTTCCTAAAAGATCTCCCTGACTCTGCTGCCCAAGGCCTAGTCACCCCATTCCATGGACCAAACACCCTCGAAGTGTTCAGAATTTGAAACAGGTCAAGAGGCAGCGTCAGAGGCTGGAACCCCTCTTGGCTTACACCTAGGGTCCAGGTGCGAGAACATGCCATGAGAGTGGCTTGTGCTGGTGTCTCCCTTTGGGACTGACAGGGCTGCAAACCACAGGAGGGAGTCTCATCTCTTGAGATTCTCCAGGTTCAAGACATTGAGAGATTCAAAGGACCATCCAAGCGCTGGGCTGTTTCACTTGATGCCAAAGTGGTCACTTTTTCGCTCAGAGGCTGGATCAGATCTAACCAGTTAGTGTTGTCCTCCACCTCTGGGTGGGATTTACTGAATGGGAAGGGTTTCTCCAGGAAAGTGGGTCTGGTTCCAGGTGGGGAGGTATCTCAGTATGACACCAAGCCGGGGCCAAGAACCTGCTAGCATACAAACACTAGAACCTCAGCATGCCGAATGGAGATCTCTTTCCTACTTCAGGTTGAACCTCTCTAGTCCGGCATTCTCGGGACCCAACCGGTGCTGAACCAGAGAATTTGCTAGACCACAGGAGGTCAGTATTGTCCAGCAGCATTACCAACACTTCCACTGCTTATGGGGCTGTTAGAGGGCATTTTGAGGTAATTAGAGCTAAATAACAGCACAGAACACTGAGAGCCAGGACTGGGGGCTGTCAACAAACTTCATGGGACCACGGGAAACTTGGACACACCCATGAAAAGTGGACATCCAGGTAACTCAAATCATGCCGGATGATGGATGTTGCCGGACTAGAGAGTTCTGGACTGAAGAGGTTCAACCTGTACCCTGCCTCAATTATTGCTGCTGAAGGAAGTACTGCATTTGGCCCCCGGATGAGGATTGTTGGGCTTTCTAGCTCATAAGAGCTGAAAAGAAATGGGGTTGAATGAGAGTCTGGCTAGACTTCTCCTGGCTGGAAGTCACTGTGTGAAGCCAATTGAAATGTTGCAGGACTTGGAAAAATCTGCACAGAGGCTGAAGATCACATTTAAACAAAAATTCCTAGGCTGGTGCTAATGATGTGTGAAAATGCTAAAAAGCGGCTCTGTGGCTGACGCATAAACAAACCTTGTGAACCTGCGTGAAATAAATACAAACAGCATTCTTGTTCCCGCTTTTGACTTTTTAGAGACCTGTGGCTGGGAGGGAGTGGTGCAAAGCCAAGCCAAACGGGATTTTGCCAGAATCATGCAGAAAAAACTAATAAGCAAATACATAACTGGCAACTAATGAGCAAATACATACCCATGCTCAGCATCTCTAGAAGTCAGGCTGTTATGTAAGTATCGCAATAAAATGCACCTGCCTTATTTTGGACAGCTAGGTTTGGAAGCATGGGTCTTAGCACTCCTTGTGCTGCGGGAGATCTCAAAGCACTTTTACAAAAGTGGGTGAGCATGGCTAGCCCTATTGTACGGATGGAGACACGGAGTCACCGAGAAACCATGTGATTTACCCAAGACCACAGCCAAACAGGGGCAGAGCTGGGTTCCTACCAGTCCAGTTCCTGGAACTTGATGTCTCTGGAGTGCACGATGCTTCACCAATCTGGTTTTCAATGACTCATCCAACCAGGCTCCTTTTGGGTGATTATTCCATGGGCTAAGAGACATCACTGTGGGGAAATCCAGCCTATGTTTTCCTTGAGAATTAAACTGGGGCAAAGTAATAAAGTTACTTCCATGGGAGTGACTTGGAAGTGTCTACTCCAGCCTGGGTCTGGGAAACTCCGGAAGGAGGCAGAATCATTTGGGTTCAACTTCCACTTAACCAACGGATCTTGGTTTGAATCTCCCCTTTATTGGGAACTCTTGGGGCCTCCTCGAGAACTTACTGCAATTTTTCCACTGACCTTGGAAGACTTTGGATCAGGCACTGCTGGCCTGTTTCTTTAGTCTCAGGCTTACGCGGTATGAAGACAGTGATAAATATCAGTCCACTTCACTCGACCTTCCAGGACCAGAGAAGGCAGGGCTTCAAGAGAAGGGCACTGGAAAGCGTGCGTCCATGGACACTTTGGTGCTTTCCAGCAGTGACGCTCCAGATGATACGTTGCAGCTGCAAGAACTCCAACTCTCAATCCCTATTGTACTTGAAAAGCCGGGCTAATTAGGCAAGCTAAGCCCCTAGCTACCATAGCAACAGATGCTAAAGAAAACCCTAAGGTAGACAGAAAGATCAAGTTTGCATTAGAATTCATCATCTTCCCTTCTTTAAAAAAAAAAACACTCCCTTCATTAACTGGGCTTTCCGTGCCAGATCTGCTTTAACACACCCAGGACAAGCCGTACCATAGGAAGAGGAAAAGAAACCCGAGCTTTTCCCTGGAGAGGTTATTACACTGTGTGTGTTCCTGGCTGTTTCCTCTGGGGCTCTTTCACTGCGCCATCCTCAACACAAACATGTCATTCAGCAATCGCGCCATGAGGCCGTGACTCAGTTCAGGTTTGAACTACAGCATCGGAGAACCTCAAAGGTTCTGGGCACCGCAGAGTTTGAACTATGCTGCCAATGCAGAGGGGAGGGCATGAAGGGGTTCTTACATGTTAACAGCTCACCGCAACTTCACACTGTATAAAACATAAAAAACCACAAATGGTCTTGCGGCTCCTAGAGACTAACAAAACACATTGATGGTATCATGAGCTTTCGTGGGCACAACCCGCTTCTTTCGACGAATGAACTTCTAGGTGCTGCAGGACTACTTGCTGTTTTTTACGTTTTTCCGGTTACAGACTAACTTGGCTACCCTCCTGACACTTTCTAAAACAGTCGGGCTCAGTGGGAGAGGAGCTGTCTTTGGTGTGACGTAAACCAGAAGCCCTAATGACCTATGGGTGTTAGAAAGCCCAAGCCGCTTTTGGGCAAGAGCAGGAGAGTTATCCCCAGTGTCCTGACTAGATTGCACCTGGGTAATTACTGAGCTCCTCCATGGTTACAGCTGAGTATCTTTAGAACTTTTGCTTCCTATCTTGACTGTGTTTGATGTCACCTCCCAACCCACGGCAACCGCATTGCACAGTAATTGAAGGCAGCAGATCCATCTGGGTTCTGGACTTTAAAAAACTATGACCGGGAAACAGTCAATGGCCGGGGTATAGTGCAGGATCTCTGAGTGAAGGACATGGTATTCGTGTCAGCTGCTAGTACCTATTGTTGTATAATTCAGGACCTGGAGCACATGGGCTGGCACAAGAGGAATTCGCCATCCCTGCTAGGCTGGGTGTCCTTCTAATGGAGTCGCTCGTTTAACCACGGGCTAATGTGCTAGACCTACGTATGAAGGACCTGGGACTAGCTGAACCTACTGATCCCACTGGGCCTCACAATCTATGACACTTGTTGTACAGGGCAACACACGACAACCATTTGCCAGTCTCACTTGGCCATGATGCACATCTAGGCCTGTTCCTCATGGATCTTCATGACGCTTTGTGGACCTTCCATTCCTGAATCTATCATTCATGACCCATCTCTTCGTCTTGAGACAAAGCTAGCTTGCTTTGCCGCTTCAGGCAAAGGTACATAATTGGGGTGGTGAGCCCCTTCCGTCGCTTGGGCCGTTTTGACTACACTCTATCTCTTGTGCTGTAGCTCCCTCTGAGTTAGCATGGGTATGTCTCCATACGCTGGTATGACCCCTTCCAACTTAAAGTGTAGATATACCCTAAGCCCTGCTCTATACTAGGACTTTATTTTGAAATAACCCCCCTAAGGTCAAATTTATAAGTGGTGCATCCATACTACCAAGCCCATTATTTCCAAATAACATGCCACTTAATTTGAAATATGTACTCCTGCTTTTCATCAGAAGTAACACTAATTCTGAAACAGTTATTTTGAAATAGCGGTCGTGTGGATATGCTGGTGCTGCATTTTGAAATAGCTACTCCCCAGAGTAATTCGAACTAATGACTCCCCAGTATTTCCTGGGGTGCTAAGTCTGAGGTAGAGCGTCCACATTCACAGAGCCTGCCTCAGACTAATTTCGAGGTTTCCCCGTAGAGTGGGCACGCTAGTTCGATTTTGTTACATCAGGAGTTAAGTCGAATTTAATAATTTTGAAATAATTTCCTAGTGTAGACGTGGCCTGAGAGAACAGGGTAAGTCACCATTGTGGATTAAGGCATAACCCACAACTTTCAGATCTAGAGTTTGACTGTCCCAAAGTTTGGATGTGTTTCGATTCGGGTGCTAATTCAACCCATTATAAATTTGCAAACTTTGGAGATGGGTAAATATTTTTAACTCGTTGCACAGACGGAGTGGGCTGGTTGTTATAAAACCAGATTCATTTGGGGAAGACGGCCAAGCTGGAAATGACTAGCCAGTAAAGGTGTCATTGGCGAGATTTTTTTTTTTACATCCTCTGATTTTAATAATCCATAGAGGTGTTAGTGACACACGGGAGAAAGGCTTCTAAATATACAATTATCCTGAGCGTGTCCTTTTCAATGCCGTGGGTTGATTTACAGGCTTGGAATCAGCAGGGACGGTGTGAATTTAGGACCAAAGGAATCTTTCCGTTGGCAATCGGACTGCAGAGTGTGCTTTGATATCTGTCCAGCTGCTTATTCTGAAGGGCACCTCTGTTCCCCTTTTTCCTGGCACCCCCCTCCCTGCCCCGTTTTCAAGAGAAACAGGAACTCCGTGGCCACTGTTCTCTGATGCCAAGGGGTGATATCTGCTGGAGGATTTATATCCCCTGACTGCTGCACAACTTGAAAGAGCAGGTGGCAGAGTCGCACTGCAGACCACACAATTTCAGAGAGCTCCAGCCGAGCCACGCCCATGCGTTTCCAAGCTAAGCGCATCCATTCCGCCGTATGTCCAGACATTTGTTTGAGCCCCGGCTGGCGAGAGAAGTAACAGGTGAGTGAGGTGTCCTGGCCCTGCCTTTCCGCTCATAAATCAGGCCAGTGTCTCAAGGACAGACTATGCCCATTTGGACTGCAGGGAAAGTTGGCAAGTGCTTAGTGCCCTAGGGGCCAGGCATTCCAGCTCTGGTGCTGATTTGCAATGTGACCTTGGCCACCTCTATCTGTCCATCCATCCATCCATCCACACCCCTGCCTCCATAACTTCTACTCCAATTCATTTGATGAAGTGAGTTTCACTCATATATGCCCTAATGCATCTGTTAGTCTCCACAATGCCACCAGACGACTCCTCATGGTTTTCTGCAGAGCCAGCCTAACACAGCCACCCCTCTGAGACTTTTAGAGGGGCAGAGTATTGCCAGCAGGGGAAGGCAACAGGTTGAACCTGGAAATCAGACAGGGAAATCGGCACAGCTTGCAGTGGGGTCGCCATCCTGTGGCATGTAACTGAATGTCTGTGAATATTAGCAGGGGGCTACGCATGCAATTGACTTGAGATGCATGTCATTTCTTCTCCAGCTCTTTCCAGGCGTACCATTCTAACTCTGTCCTGACAAACGCAGGCAGGAGGACTCCAAGTGAAAAGGTGGTTTACTGCTCCCCAGCTTCCCAAAATATCTACAACCTAAACAGAACCGAACAAGACTTCCCTGTAAGCTGTACTCTTGGGCAGCCAACCAGGAGAGAGTCAAATGCTGCCTAGCTGACTAGCAGAGTGCCCACAGCCAGCAGCCTGTGTTTCTACTGGTGATGCACATCCACACATGCCCCAATGCATGTAACAAAATTTATTCCACACATGGATGGGAAAATTAGAGGGAACATTGATGGTGGCTCACCCAGGATGTCAGTGTCAGGGCCTTTTTAGGCACAGCTGCCCCACAACCTTATGATTTAGCAAGAACCTGCCCTATGGGACTCCAGCAACGACAGCCGGTGGTGGTAGCACACCGTTTGCCAACAACGCTTACCCAGCCGGATGGGGTGAAACCTGTTGAGCCTTGTTCTTCATGGCACTGTCCTGAGAATTGTTGGAGAGACCTACAGCAGAAAGAAAGACAGACAGACAGACAGTTTAGTTCGCTGGGCCTAATAATCACTGAACAGTGAATTTTACCCAAACTCCTGGGAGTGAGCCTTCTGGAAGCTTATAACCAAAGAGGCTTCTGGGTATTGGGTAGAGCCCCACAAATCCACAGATATCCGCAGATATGGATGCAGATATCTATGGCTCAGTTGCGTACAGATATGCATTTCATATCCACTTCATATCCACTAGATCCGCCTTCGCGGATGTCAAATGCAGCGGTGGACATGACTTTAGTATCTGCTCTGGGCTCTAGTATAGAGGAATGGAAGCTTTGAGTTGGACACGGACGCTGTTCTCCTGAGAGCAGCTCAGGTTTCTGGGAACAGGTCATCGGGAGTAATCTAGGTCTCAGCTCTGAAATTTCTGGGCCGGGAAGAATTTGAGCCTCCCACCTTTCATTTCTAGCAAAGGGGGCTTTGGCTTTGTCCAGTGCTCCACAATTTCTGTAGCAAGGACTCCGTCAGCCTGGTAAAGTGCTCAAGCTTACCTGCACCCCCTCCTTACTGCTCCCCAAGACTGGGAGGTCTGGAATTTGAGGCAGGCAGTGTCCAGCAGAACCATATCAAACCAGCTGGTGAAATCAACGTGCATGATCAGTGCAGGTCCTGCAATGCAGCAAGGGTGTCAGTGCCCCCAGACTCTCTGCACAGGCCCGGGTGTCAAAGGCTTTTGTCTTTTTGAGACAGGGCTTCCATAAAGCCGTAGGCTCCTCTAGAAGTTGGCAGGTGCAAGAGATTCTAATCTTGAATGACATTTTGCAATTTGCTCCCCATGCCCATAATGGACTAAACCAAAACCCCAGATCTGAACCTCCTCCTTGACCGCCGAGGCATTCGAAATCCTGATTCAGAGTGAAGTTTTGAGACTTACGTCCCTCCAAAAGCAGATCAATTCAAATCCGAGTGACTAAAATGGGGCAAGGAATTAAAACGTCCAGACGCTGCTGAGAAAGGAGGATACTCACTTCGACTAAAATTGGGCAAGGAATTAGAACGGCCAAACGCTGCTGAGAAAGGAGGATACTCACTTTATTCATATGGACATTTTGCAGAAGTGGGGGGATGAATAAATCCAGAAAACTCAGGGAGAAATAATATGGTTCACAACCCAGCATCTGGGATCACAGATTGTTGATTTTCCACTAACGTCTGATGCTTTCAAGTGCCTCCTTGGATCCAAGGGGGGAAGAAAAATGCTGCCTGCAAAAGAGACCAGAACAAAAATGTGGGGGGCACCGCACCTCACATGCGCCAGCAGAGGGCACCCTAGCCAGGCTGGAAACTGCATGCCCCTCTCCCCCCCCCGCCTACAGTTTCACATAGATAAATGGAGAACCAGAATTCTCGGGTTGGCGTGATCAAGCCGACCCGGAGTATTTTCCCCTGACACTTCAGTTCACCCAGCAACTATGTTTTCCAGTTTTCTGCAAACGTACAGATATGCATTTCATATCCACTAGATCCGCCTTCGTGGATGTCAAATGCAGCGGTGGACATAACTTTTGTATCTGCTCTGGGCTCTAGTATAGAGGAATGGAAGCTTTGAGTTGGACACGGACGCTGTTCTCCTGAGAGCAGCTCAGGTTTCTGGGAACAGGTCATCGGGAGTAATCTAGGTCTCAGCTCTGAAATTTCTGGGCCGGGAAGAATTTGAGCCTCCCACCCTTCATTTCTAGCAAAGGGGGCTTTGGCTTTGTCCAGTGCTCCACAATTTCTGTAGCAAGGACTCCGTCAGCCTGGTAAAGTGCTCAAGCTTACCTGCACCCCCTCCTCTTACTGCTCCCCAAGACTGGGAGGTCTGGAATTTGAGGCAGGCAGTGTCCAGCAGAACCATATCAAACCAGCTGGTGAAATCAACGTGCATGATCAGTGCAGGTCCTGCAATGCAGCAAGGGTGTCAGTGCCCCCAGACTCTCTGCACAGGCCCGGGTGTCAAAGGCTTTTGTCTTTTTGAGACAGGGCTTCCATAAAGCCGTAGGCTCCTCTAGAAGTTGGCAGGTGCAAGAGATTCTAATCTTGAATGACATTTTGCAATTTGCTCCCCATGCCCATAATGGACTAAACCAAATCCCCAGATCTGAACCTCCTCCTTGACCGCCGAGGCATTCGAAATCCTGATTCAGAGTGAAGTTTTGAGACTTACGTCCCTCCAAAAGCAGATCAATTCAAATCCGAGTGACTAAAATGGGGCAAGGAATTAAAACGTCCAGACGCTGCTGAGAAAGGAGGATACTCACTTTATTCATATGGACATTTTGCAGAAGTGGGGGGATGAATAAATCCAGAAAACTCAGGGAGAAATAATATGGTTCACAACCCAGCATCTGGGATCACAGATTGTTGATTTTCCACTAACGTCTGATGCTTTCAAGTGCCTCCTTGGATCCAAGGGGGGAAGAAAAATGCTGCCTGCAAAAGAGACCAGAACAAAAATGTGGGGGGCACCGCACCTCACATGCGCCAGCAGAGGGCACCCTAGCCAGGCTGGAAACTGCATGCCCCTCTCCCCCCCCCGCCTACAGTTTCACATAGATAAATGGAGAACCAGAATTCTCGGGTTGGCGTGATCAAGCCGACCCGGAGTATTTTCCCCTGACACTTCAGTTCACCCAGCAACTATGTTTTCCAGTTTGCTGCCTGATACATTCTCTTCCTTATCTGCTGATCCCACACAGCTGGTTATTTATCACCTCCAATCTGGCAGGGGTTTGGGGTTTGGGTTTTTCCACTCCGCTCGCCTGGCTGTGCAGTCGTACTGCCTTACGTGACACCATGACCTACTTTATTTCCCAGTGAGCAGCCACACGCAGCTTCAGTGCGGCTCCCGGGGAGGTAGGGAGGGAGCAGCGATGGCTGAATGAAACAGGGGCCTTTTCGAAAAAGCATGGCAAAGGGCAGGTGAGAAAGGAGGAGCAGTAAAAGCCGCTTGTGTTTCCCCAAGCTGGAAGCACAAGCCAAGGGATCAAGTGCGTTGACACAGACCGGATCAAAGCCACAGAGGAAAGGGCAAGGAACTCTATCCTGGACCGTGATAACCTGTCCTGTGATCGCATGGTCCTGTGATCGCCAGGCTAGCCTGGACGTTCCTGGCTCAATTCTATCTTTCCGCCAACCCATGCTCCCCGGGTGACTTCAGCCACGTCACTGGGGCTTGGAGAAGCTGGGCCAAACTCTCAACCAAGGGACTTAGGCACCTAAATAGTCTGAGGCTTTGGACCTTAGCGACCCTGTGCCATACCTCCTCTACCAGGGATCACAGCCTGGCCCTCTCTCCCAGGGGGATTGTGCACATTGAGAGGTGCTGAGGTACCGTGCCAGTGCTAAAAACTGATTGACCGTGGAAATTTCTTCGTCGGCCCCAGCAGCTAGAAGTTGATTTACACACTGAAGTGGGAGAGGTAATCCCCCTCATGGAGTCATATCCTATTTAATTTTGGAGCTCGCATTCTGATGTCCAATCCTTTCTCCCCGGATCTCAGTGATATCTTGTGGCAGTGAGTCCTACAGGTCCATGATGCTCATGGCTTGCCTCGCACGCAGTTGCAACAGGGTGCCGAGAATAAAGCCACTTTTCTGCATAACATCCCAGCACACCCTTTGCAACCCAGAAAAAAGGGAGGTATTTGCAAAGCAGTTGGGAATCTCATCTACCTAGGTTTGCGTTCATAGCTAGAGATCCACGCTGTAGTGCGTCAGGTGCTGCATGAACACTAGCAAAAAGATGGCCCCTGCCCCATCTTTGAGTAGAGCTCAGAGTAGGGGGTGGGGCAGCGGCCGGAGACCGGTAGGGGAATGGAACTAGATCCCTCATGATTTGGCCTTTAACTGCCAGGGGCGAAAGAAGCTGCATCCAGGAGGATTTTCAGTGGAGGCATCTCCCGAGAATGGTGTCTGGTGAAGAGCCAAATGTTTCTCCCTGCAGCAGACGGAGTGCAGGGGAACCAAGTGCCAAGGGCCCTGAGCCAGCCAAAGGAAGATGGCACTGGCGAGGCTGCAGGTTAGACAGACATCTGTCAGAGATGGTGTAGACGGAGCTTGATCCTGCCTTGAGGGCGGGGGGCTGGACTCGATGACCTCTCGAGGTCCCTTCCAGTCCTATTATTCTATGATTCTATGATTCATCAGCTGATTGTCAGCACAGCGCGTGAGTCAAGACGTGGATCGGTCTTGAGGCTCTTCCCCAAGGCCCCACCCCTGCTCCGCCTCTCCCCTTGAGGCCCCATCTCTTTCTCTGCCTCTTTTCCCATGCCCTGACCCCTTCTTTGTCTCTTCCGAACAGGCCCCACCCCGGCATGCCATGCCCCTGTCGCAAACAGCGAAAACAGCCTGGCCCTCGAGGCCGCTGTGACTGCTGTTGCTATGTGGCCTCCTTCCTTCTAGTTAGGGTTGCTACTGATTAAAAAAAACAGATATTGGGGCTTGTCAAATAGCCCTGGACACACAAACAGAAACCCGGGCTGTCTGGGTGAAAACCGGAGGGGTGGCAACCAATGATCCCGCTAATGTTTCCCATCCATGTGCACATTTTTTCTATCTCTATGTGGAATAAACTTTTTATGTGCATCAAAGTATGTGCAAATGTGCACCACCAGGACAATCAAAAAACCTAGCAATAGGTGTTCTGCTACCCAGCTGGGTGGCTTTGGATGTCTCCTGAGGAGCCGCACAAGCACACAGCTTATGGGGAACACTGCTGGTGGCCACCCTAAACTTCAAGTCAAGGCTCCACGTGGCCTGAAATGGCATTGAGATCGGCCCGTTCTATTGCGTGGAGCCGGATCCCTGTGCATCTGCAGACGGCACCCACTGCGTCGCAGCATGGGTGAGCCATGCAAACCAGCTGCACAAGCAGGCAAATAGCTACTGAGAAAAGCACCATGCAGCAGGCCTCCTCCGCATGACCTGGCCTCCAGGGAGCAAAAGGAACATCAACAGGGCAACTCAGACATTTCCCCCTTGAAGAGAGGCTCTTGTGCTCTAAACTCCTTGCAGCCTTGTGAGACAAAGACTGCAGTGCAGGTAGTGATGGCTATCAGAGGAAAACATGCAGCACACTTGGGGTGGGGTACATATTTTCATCTCTAGCCTGCTGGTTTGTGCTCGAGCAATTAGCTGGGAGATGCTTCTTGCCTTAGATACTGGAAACTCCTACTGTTGACATGCATGAGAAAGTTCTGCATGTAGAAGAACAGAATGACTTCATGCCTGGATAGCACTTCATTGTCCTTAAAATGACCTTCGTCAGACGTTATCAGCTGGGGTTTAACCCAGCACCAATACCTTAACACCTTCCTCGCTTCAGGCTCACGGAGGAACTCCATCCGCCAGTAGCAGCAGAGGGCTTTTATCCACTCCACAGAGGAGCCAGCAGAGGAGGACAGGATGCAGAGGAGGACAGGATACAGTTACACACTCCCTCTTCTGGAAAGACTGAAACTGCAAGCCCAGCAAGATTGAACGGCACTGGAGAACAGCAACGGGATAGGAATGTGTCCTGCTCTAGGTTAGAACCGGCTTCTGCAGGGCAGCAACCGGAAGTCGTTACCATCAGATTGACTGCTCAGTGAAACAGAAAGGTTGTCCCAACCCAGTTCCTACTGGGACACCAAGATTAAAAGAAACCTGTAACAGATTTCTCATTAGCCATCCTGCATAGAATCATAGAATCCTAGGGCGGGCAGAGACCTCAGGAGTCATCGAGTCCAGTCCCCTGCCCA